TTGAGCAGTATTGTATATGTACTCACTTAAAAATGATGGTTCTTTAAGGGTTCTTGATGAAAGAAAATCGTTCTGTATTGGGCCATGACCACTCAAAGAACCGTGTGCATGATTAAAGGGTTCTTTGCATCATCAAAAGGGTTCATCACATTGATGAAGAATGTGTTGTATATGGTTCTATATAGAACCTTTTTACAAAAAGGCTTCTATATAGCACCAAAAAGGGTTCTTTTAATATTACAAGCTTGACATCATAGCAATAGAAGAATCCTTTTTGGTGCTATGCAGAGCCCTTTTTCAGAAAGGTTCTATATAGAACCATCTACAACACATTCTCCATCAACTTGAAGAAGCCTTTCATGGTGCAAAGAACCCTTTAATCATGCAAGTGTTTTTTGAGTGTTCATGGTTCTATGTAGAACCATTTTTTTTTACTAAAGGACTCTTGATAAACCATCATTTTTAAGAGTGTAGAAAAGGTTTGTACTTAAAAAAGATGGTTCTTCAGGGGTTCTTCAGTAAAAACAACAATTCTATATAGAACAGGAAATGGTTCTTCAGATTAATGGGGAGTGTGTTGTATATGGTTCTATATAGAACCTTTTTGAAAAGCATTCTACACAGCCAAAAAGGGTTCTACTATTGCGACAATGTCAAAATAAATATAGAACCCTTTTTGGTGTTACACAGAACCCTTTTCAAAAAGGTTCTATATAGAAACATATACATCACATTCTCCATCAATCTGAGGAACAATTTCACCATGCAAAGAACCATTTAAGCATGCAGGTGGTTCTTTGAGCGTTTGTGGTTCTATACATAATCATTGTCTTTGCTAAAGAAGAACCCTTTTCTGAAGTGTGTGGTTGGTAGAGAACTTATAGAAAGTGCTTTAAACTTTAAAAAAGGTTCTTCACAATCACACATCTCATTTAGAACTATTGTTCTTTAAAGAACTATCCACTAAAAAAGCTCTTTAGGGAATCAGAAGTGGTTCTTTCTCTGCTGACTCTCCATTTTTGGTACTTTTATTTTTAAAAGTGTAATATGACCTGAGCTTTGATACAGCTGAACTCTCATATAGGTCTATACTTTGTTCTCAGAGCAAACCTATTATAACATCTGAGTCTAGCAAAGCGTGGTTACCAGAAACGGAAAAGAATCCTTACGTAAGGATTATTGCATTATTAGAATGAGCTCTGAGGCCAAACATGGAGCCGGATGTATTATGAAACCCATAGAACCGGTGTTATTTTTTATGTACAATTACAATCAATAATTTCCAATGGTGGTATTAGTTCTCATCAGCAATAATTCTGTTAGATCAGTGGTGTATTTGTTTTCATGTGTCGCCTCTCCGATCTCTGGACCCTATTTCCATTATCTGTGTTTCTCTGGAGGGGACTCTTTTGCTGGCAATACTAAATGAATGCAATCTGTCATTATCAAGAGACGCAAACATTTTTTTTTCAAACAGTGTCGCAGAGAAATATGTTTGTATATTACATAGGGATCGGGAGATACTTAACAGAAGTTTGTCAACTCCCCACCGAATCCAGCAGGCCGTCTGTGGGCAGAGGTTCATTCAGTGGATTTCATCAGGTTTCTGATGTAAACATAACGCAAACATTCATACCCAGAAAGACTCATTTACTCTGCCTTTTACGACTGCTCTACACTGCCACTTCCAGCTAGGATTTTTTGATTCTTGACATTGAACATGTTTACTCGCAACTCCTATAGGGTGAAAAATGTAAAGTTCGAAAAGGGGAAAGAGGAGAATATTTTAATTTGCTCATTTGTACTTAAAAACTCCATGTAGTTTTGAACTTAGATGATCTTACATTTAAGTTAGAAGGCTTTTTTACTTTGTTTACATTGTTTTGTTAAGTTGCTAAGTAACTGCAAAAAGCTTGTCATGTTTCACCTGTCACAATATCCTCTTACAAATAAGATATATTGAAACTAAGATTTCTGTAGTGATGTATACTTTCGTAATGCTTTATAATATTTTAACCTTCTATAATGTACATCTTATAGTGATCTAGTGTCCTTCAGTAAACTATAATAATTCACTGGATTTACTATAAGATGCTTATAGAAATCCTATAGAAATGCCTGTACACCCTTAAAAGTAGTAGTTCTTTGGTGAGAGGAATGGTTATATAGAGAACCACGACATCTCAAAGAACCATTTGAATGCAGTTGTTCTTCTCACTGATGGAAAACCTGTTGCATGGTGACATGGTCCTTCAGACTGATGTAGAATGTGTTGTATATGATTCTATATAGAAACATATATAGCACCAAAAAGAGTTCTGATATTATTATACACACTTAACAAAGACAGTCTATGAGTTCTATATAGAACCATTTGCATGTTTAAATAGTTCTTTGCATGGTGGAATCGTTCTTCAGATTAACAGATAATGTGTTGTATATACAGTGGTGTGAAAAAGTGTTTGCCCCCTTCCTGATTTCTTATTCTTTTGCATGTTTGTCACACTTAAATGTTTCAGATCACCAAACAAATTTAAATATTAGACAAAGATAACACAAGTAAACACAAAATGCAGTTAATAAATGAAGGTCTTTATTATTAAGGGAAAAAGAAATCCAAACCTACAGGGCTCTGTGTGAAAAAGTGATTGCCCCCTAAACTTAATAACTGGTTGGGCCACCTTTAGCAGCAACAACTGCAATCAAGCGTTTCTGATAACTGGCAATGAGTCTTTTACAGGGCTATGGAGGAATTTTGGCCCACTCATCTTTGCAGAATTGTTGTAATTCAGCCACATTGGAGGGTTTCCAAGCATGAACCGCCTTTTTAAGGTCATGCCACAGCATCTCATTCAGATTCAGGTCAGGACTTTGACTAGGCCACTCCAAAGTCTTAATTTTGTTTTTCTTAAGCCATTCAGAGGTGGACTTGCTGGTGTGTTTTGGATCATTGTCCTGCTGCAGAACCCAAGTGCGCTTCAGCTTGAGGTCACGAACAGATGGCCGGATATTCTCCTTCAGGATTTTTTTGGTAGACAGCAGAATTCATGGTTCCATTTACCACAGCAAGTCTTCCAGGTCCTGAAGCAGCAAAACAGCCCCAGACCATCACACTACCACCACCATATTTTACTGTTGGTATGATGTTCCTTTTCTGAAATGCTGTGTTACTTCTACGCCAGATGTAATGGGACATACACCTTCTCGTCAGTCCACAGAGTATTCTCCCAAAAGTCTTGGGGATCATCAAGATGTTTTCTGGCAAAACTGAAACTAGCCTTTATGTTCTTTTTGCTCAGCCATGGTTTTCGTCTTGGAACTCTGCCATGCAGGCCATTTTTGCCCAGTCTTTTTCTTATGGTGGAGTCATGAACACTGACCTTAACTGAGGCAAGTGAGGCCTGCAGTTCTTAGGATGTTGTTGTGGGGTCTTTTGTGACCCATTGGATGAGTCGTTGCTGCGCTCTTGGGGTAATTTTGGTCGGTCGGCCACTCCTGGGAAGGTTCACCAGTGTTCCATGTTTTCGCCATATGTGGATAATGGCTCTCACCATGGTTCGCTGGAGTCCCAAAGCTTTAGAAAAGGCTTTATAACCTTTTCCAGACTGATAGATCTCAGTTACTTTGTTTTTCATTTGTTCCTGAATTTCTTTGGATCGCAGCATGATGTCTAGCTTTTGAGGATCTTTTGGTCTACTTCACTTTGTCAGGCAGGTCCTGTTTAAGTGATTTCTTGATTTGAGAACAGGTGTGGCAGTAATCAGGCCTGGGTGTGGCTAGGGAAATTGAACTCAGCTTTCCAAAGATGTGATAAACCACAGTTAATTTATGTTTTAACAGGGGGGGCAATCACTTTTTCACACAGAGCCCTGTAGGTTTGGATTTCTTTTTCCCTTAATAATAAAGACCTTCATTTATTAACTGCATTTTGTGTTTACTTGTGTTATCTTTGTCTAATATTTAAATTTGTTTGGTGATCTGAAACATTTAAGTGTGACAAACATGCAAAAGAATATGAAATCAGGAAGGGGGCAAACACTTTTTCACACCACTGTATTTCTATATAGAACATTTTTGAAAATTGTTCTATTTAGCACCAAAAAGGGCTCTAATATTGTCATACACACTTAACAAAGATGGTTCTTCAATGGTTCTTTAGTAAAGGCAGTGGTTCCATTTACAAACATAAATTCTATTTATAACCTTTTGCATGCTTAAATGGTTCTTTGCATGGTGAAATGGTTCTTCAGATTATTGGAGAATGTGTTGTATATATTTCTATATAGAACCTTTTTGAAAATGGTTCTATTTAGCACCAAAAACGGGTTCTGATATTGTCATGCACATTTAACAAAGATGGTTCTTCAATAGTTCTTTAGTAAAGGCAGTGATTCAATTTATAACAGAGCTCTGTATAGAGACATTTGCATGCTTAAATAGAATAAAATCTTTTTGAATAGAAACGGTTACAGTAGAAGAACCCTTTTTGGTGCTTTGCAGAACCATTTTCAGCAAAGGTTCCATTACACCATTTCCACTGCAAATGGCTCTATAGAGAAGTCATGGTTCATTGCCTTGGCTAAAGAACCCTCGAAGAACCATCTTTGTCGAGTGTGTAGTAACCTTGTAGGGTACTATATAGAACCCTTTTAGCTGAGTGAGTGCTGTAGACCTTTTGATAGCGTTCTTTAAGAACGGCACAGTTGCCATTCTGTATGAAGTTTCGAGAAGAGCTAAAACGAACCTGAAAGTGGGTTGTGAGCAGTGGATAAATCATCTCTCTCACCTTGAGTGAGCAGACAGGGCTGCACAGCTGTTAAATAAATAAATAAATAAATAAATAAATCTGCTAATTCCTCACATTTTTCCCTCGTAAATCCTGAGGTGACGCCGCGCGGCCCCTCCTCCTCCCCCTCTCACTGTTGCTTCACGATGAAAACAGTCCACATGTGCTCCCCCCGCTTGTTTTTGACCGTTAGGCTCTGAGAGGAGGACTGTGCGGCGACGCGCCGTTTGCCCTGTTGATCTGAATCGCGAGGCAGCTGTAAGTTACTGAGCGTCTCTGCTGTCTGTGAAAGTGCTGCTCTCTGAGGCGGATGCGCGAGCAGGACTCCGGCGGGAAGAGAGCGGCACTGCGGACTAAAAGTTCGTTACACGGTTGAAAAAAGAGCATGCCGCGCCTCTGAGAGAAAGACGAGCTTCTGAAGAGGTAGGACATTTCGAAAAAAAATGACCGTGTGGAGCGCGCCCTGCGTTTTATTTAGAAAGGACTGAGCTCGTTTCCGCCGCGCGGTCTCCTGAAGGCGCCGTGTCGGCCGGTGAAGGTAACGCATGCTAACACGCTGCTGCTGCTGCAGTCAGTCAGTCAGTCAGTGAGTGAAGAGGCTAACGGTAACGGCTACGACTACCGTCTGCTGCTCCACTTCTTTTACCGTTCGTTTTAGTCTTTTTACTCGAGAGTTTAACTCTCGGAGTTCATGATTTACCTTCTCAGCTGTGTGTTTACTGACTTTACACGGGACCCTCTATTGGCACTCACTGCTTCCACTTCGTTTTTACAAAACCGTCTCTCTTTTCCTTTACACGTCGTTGAAAACGTTTCTCATTCCAGTCACAGCTTGTACACAGCGTGTTTCCTGCTCTGTGAGATGTGGTGTTCACCCCGTTTTTAATCCTAAATCTATTAAACCGGCTGTGAAGACAGAATGAGAAGTGTAGTGAGGTGCCACTCTTGTATGTTAGCTACTGGAACATCACAGTGAATTGTAATTAGGCTGTTTAGCAGCACATTGTAAACTGGCGCAGGTGCGCACTTAGTGCAAATAGCCTACTTGTTTACACTGGGAACTTAAAGCCGGCGAAAGTCGATCTTGGTGGTCAGACGTCTCAGTAAAAGCTTTACTAATGGCTTTACTGGGCCTGAGTGACCTGGTCATTTATCATTGGCATTTAGTCATCCATCATCCCAGAAGCCCTTTTCGAAAGAGGCGTTTCTGAAGGGTGAGCTGTGCCGGCTGGCCTCTGGACCTTGTACAATGACGTTGGAGGTTTACTGAGTCTTTACACGCTGATGCTCTTACATTTTTGAGGGCTGTCTGTGTTATCTCACAAGGCTGACAAAGCTTCCTTTCTCAGCAACACAACTCTGTTTGCTCCTGGACATGCTGATGGGCACTTTCTAACGAAGCGGAGACTTTGAGGAGTTGGGTTTAGGAGATTAGAGAATGAATAGACAACGCTAATCCACTGCATAGAGAGGTAGATTAGTGTCACTCCTTAAGCTCTAAAAACAATATAGCCTAAGCAAGTGCCTGGCCAGCACACAATAAAAGGAGCAGCTCTGATCGTGGACTTATAGACAGTACTGTGCAAAAGTCAGAGAATGTCTTTCAATTTGTTCATTTCCAGTACAGCCATTGAGGACAAGTTATTTACTTTTCAGCACCAGGGAAAAGGAAGAAAACATCTATTTATCAGAAACTTTACCAACTAAATTTTTTTTTCAGTATTTAGTGTGTCCACTCTTTGCTTTTATTACAGCGTCCATTCTTTTCAGGTGACTTGCTTTGATTTTTTCACAGAAATCTGCAGGGAAGTTCTTCCACACCTCCAAAGTTCAGTCTTAGAAGTTTACATTTTCTGTTTTGCACAATCCAAGTAATACCAATTACAAATTTAGACTCGTCAGTCCAGAAAACCTCTCTCCACTCTCCAGTATCCAGTTGTGCTGTTCTAGTACACTTTTTGTCTGTTTACTTTATGGATTTTCTCATTAAGGGCTTCTTGACAGCTTCACACCCTTTTAGGCCCAGAGTGTTAAATTGCCTTCTCACAGTGGAAGGACGGACAGAAACACCTGTGGATTTTTTCTGATGCAAAAGTGGAGCTTGATCTTCTCCTCTCTCTCAAAGATGAAAGATTTACCTTCTGTTTATCTGATGGTGACAGTTTTGATGGTCTACCAGGTCTTGTTGGGTTGTTAGGAATCCTATTTTATCTATATTTTAAATATTTATTTAAATTCCAGTTTTAAAACCTCCTGTTTTTTTTATTTATTTTCCTATGACTTTCCCCTTTCTTATTCAAGGGGATTGTCTTATATCTAATCCCCTCAGAAATATAGCCATTTTAGCTATTTTAGAAGCACATGAGAAAGAAATTTGCAAGGTATGAAGGATGGAGGAGCTAAAGTGGCTGTAGATGCACACAAATTAAATACTAATAGATAATTGTAAATTTTATAAAGTATTATAAAATATATTACACATTATAATGATATATAAATGTTGGAGGATTCCTGTTTTTTTTTCGTAAAATTTATGTTTCTTGCGTTTTTCTGACAATAAAAAATTGTACTTATTGGCCATTTTGACGGAAATTAAATAAACAAAAGATTGGTCACTGATTACTTCATGAAACTCAACAATAAAAAATATTTTTGGCCATGTAGTATTTTTTTATATTTTAATGATGTCTTCTAGTTTGTCTTTTTCAAATAAAGTATTTTGGAGTCTTTAAAAAGGCTGCGCATGGTCAGTAGATTACTCGAGTACGGATATATTATTAATAGTGATAGCCCTATTTGAACATTGTTCTCGATATCTTGAGAGGCCATAAAATATCTTAGCTTTAGCTCTAGCCATGCATGGGCCACTGCATGGGCCAGCTTTTGAGCCCGTAAGCTTTTCCATTCTTCTGCTCTACGTGTCATCAGTGCGAGCCATATGCAAGCTGTCATCGCAGCCTCACCTGTTAAAATCCCATTACCACCCCATTAACACAACAGCTTACAACAAATTACCATGCATGTAGGTGATATGTGCTCAGGCTTCTGCAGTCGAGCATGAATGTGATGATGGTATGGCAGGAGTGTAGCCCCAGCAGCCCAGGGTCTGACAGATGCAGCCAGCAATTCCCTAAGCTCCGCAGATTACAGGGATTAAGAGATATAGACTTTGTGCAATATCCTTAATGCATCAGCAGCAGCAGACAGTGGTTGGATGACTGCACAGTATAGTGTCTACCTAATGCAAGACATCAGTAACCTGCTATTACCTCTTCTGTTCCAACTGGCCTCCTTGTCCATGTCCTACTGAGTGTGTTACACTTTCATTGACTGACCCACTTTACTGACTGTGTTAAACCTGTTCTATTTAAATTACTACAGCGCAGGCCAGGACAAATATAGCATGTTTTATATGCCAAGTAGGCATGGCAAATTGCTGAAACATATGGCTTGTTTTATATATAAAAGTTCCATTATTGTTTATGACTTGGGTGCACTTACAGAAGAACCCCAGTGAACAGTTAAAGGGCTCATATAGTGGAAAATGGAATATTTCTCACTAGGCCTGTCACCTAATCGCAAATATTTAAAATTATTGCATTTATATGAAATGATTGCAATTATTTAACAGACTGCTGTCATTTTCCACAGTCATTAGATGTCACAGTCATACAACAAGCAGAATGTAAATTGGGTGTGTTGGGTTGAGGCAAACAAATGTAAATAAAAGAAAGCAGTAAATGCATTCATTGAGGCACATTGTGAAACACATGTTGAGAGGGCAGTGGCAATAATGCTCATTTATTTTTTAGCTATGTAGCTAATTCTAACCTTTTTTTAGTGTGTATGTTAGCTGAATCAATGTTTGTTGTTTACATTTTTACTCTACAAAAGTGGCTTTGACTCTACACATGATTATGTGTAGACATTAGTTTTAGTAAATGTATCTAGGAATGAAGATCCTTATTAAGTTCATTTTGCCTGTGGTGAAGCTAGAGGCCTGTAGCTTCATCACATTGCCACTTTAGGTTTGATCTTTGATTTGATAGTTGCATATGATGAACAAATATTTATATGTATGACAATTAATCACCAGCTAAAATTTCATAATTGTGAATTTTTTTTTTGGGATTTATGTTTTAAAATATACTGTTCACTCCTTGGTCTCTACAGTCCATATATGGAAACAAAAACAGCCCACTATGAATTTTTTGTCACAAAACTTGGTTTACATATTCAGAACAGAGCGGTTTAACTTGCATGCATTTAGAGTTTCATTTTAACATGCATACATTTTAAATGCACAGTAGCAAAAACAGCATGTTTAATTCAGAGGGATAAAGAGAGGTTGGAAAGTGACCATGTGTAAATAAATCATTACTGTTTTTGGTACATAAAACAACACATATGTCATGAGTGTAAAAGGCAGAATATGAACCCTATAGAGTGAAATGATACTAATGAACTGCTACATCAGTAAAAAAAATAAACATCTGCTCTGGTTTGGCAGTTTAAACATCAGTACTGTTATTTTTCCTCACCTCACAGTATGCTCACACACAACTCCAGCAGCAGAGCGCAGGCCTGGGGAAAGCTGCAGATCTCTTAGACCGAGTTTGGCTACTCGTATTGGATTTTGTATGTCACTTCATCAAATCTTAACCATCCAACTGCCTCACCTCTTCCAACATAATAGCTTTGGCATTTTTTTTTCTGTTAAATGTTAATTTCCTCTGAACGTAGCTAGTTGAAGGGCTTTTGTATGAGTGTACTGTTTTGCCGTTGGTAGTTTCACACTTCCTCCAGAGACTCTTTAAAGATCCTATTAAATAAACTACCTTGTCTTCACAGGCAAGGTGCCTTGCCTTGCAGGTAATGGAACATAGTCTAAATTAATAAAAGGGCACAATCAGTTATCAAGCCTTTGTAGGCTACAGGTTGAACATTACCACAGGAAACAACATTGATCTCCCTCTTTTCTCTCTTTTATAAGTGGAAAAATCCATCTTTTATTAGTTGAATAATTGAAAGGCTGAATATTTCATAATAGGAATGCTTTATCATTTTTATTTTTTTAGATTCTGTTTAACATTTATTTTTTACCATTGAATCTCTTTATAAAGAGCAGTTAAAAGCAGATAACCCAACCTAGAAAGGGAAGGAAACCATTAGACATCAATTTTGTGTGAACTTGTTTAAGAATGTGGAGAGATGAATGGAAAACCCCATTTGAGTATGAAAAGCAGGATCACTGACCTACAGTAAAGGTTGCTTATGCTTGAAAGGAAAAGTTGTAACTGACAGAAGAGGAGCAGAAACAGTCAATAAAACAATGTGATAAAAATAAACACAAAAATTCTTTTTAACTCTTTAAATGGGCAGGACCTGACAGCAGGTCCAAACGTTTATTACACGTTTGTGTA